GTAAACTGGTATCATATCATGATGGCAAATCCTCTAATTTTACTTTGCCCTGCTTTCATTAACTTAGCTCTTCGAAAAACCGAAAAACGCGACAAACTCAAAATCGCAGAAGCGACCCCCTCGTTCGAATAGTAAGAACGGACTATTGACCCTGTCATCTCCATTGGAGCTACAAACACTGTTTGACTTCTGTGCTCGTAGGCCAACCTTCACTCTTCGAGGGTTGTACCACCCAGGAAATCGTCGAATAGTCTCCTGACTCGACGACCATGTTACCCGTGAATTGATTACGCCTAATTTCCGGTAGATAAGCCCGCGCCGATATCACGTAAAAACACCTCTGCTGGTGCAGTGCACTTGCGTACATCTAGAGACAACCGTAACTTGCCCATAGGGGTAATTCGATATGCTGATTACGAGAACGACAGTCATTTTTGGCGGTGTCGCCACCTTGTTACGACCCTTGTTTTATTTATCTATTTATTTTCATACGTCTAACGACATGTTTTCACCAAAATCGGTGTAAACTTCTGTATAGGGGTTATTTGGTGCCCTGATTACGAATATGACATTCGTTTTTGGCATTAACGTTGTTCAACGCATATTTCTCGGTTGGAGAGCGCAGACGAGCAGAAAATAGGCGCCAAATAGCGCCAGCGCCGAGAATGAATGTCATATTCGTAATCAGGACACCAAATAACCCCTATACGGAAGTTTACACCAAATTTGGTGAAAACAGGTGTCGTGACAAGGTGACGCCAACTGGCGCCAGATGGCGCCACGCTAAAAATGAAAGTCATTTTCGTAATCAGGGCATCGAATTACCTCTATAGGCAATTTACGGTAGTTTCTAAGGTGTACAAAATTACACTGCACGAGCGGAGGTGTTTTTACGTGATATCGGCGCGGGCTTATCTACCGGAAAACCGGTTAGGTTTTTGTTATCACATCCCTTTGGAATGATAATCAGTAGTTACTAGAGGGATAAAGACTTACCACACTCAAAGTTGGATATGTATACTTTTGCAATACAACATACTTCAAAGCCTTGTACGGTGGCAATTTACAACACACTTCAAAGCCTTATACGTATGCAATTCACTGGGAAAGCGATTCGGTAAGAAGTTCTAGAAAAATGGAACTGTTGTATTTTGTTTCACAAGAATGCTGGGTTGCGAACAAAACTTTTGTATTTTGTTTATTCTGTTGTACTGTGCCCTCATAAGAAGAAAGACATGGCTCTCATTGAGAAGGTCCAGAAATAACTTCACCAGAAAACTACTTGTGCGGCGCGGTGGCTTTTTGTATGCTAGAATCCCAAACGCTGTTATAAGAAATAAATTTTTCATCTTCCTTCCTTGCATTCCAGACGTGACCTTTTTGATTTGTGCATGTTACACAGACTGCTGAGTTATAAAACTGGTATCAACTTTTCTAGCTTTTATGACCTTATTCCATCCAGAACCAGGGGTGGAGAATCCAAGTTATCCTTCCATAGGCCTAAAACCACTCTTAGGAGGAATTTTTTCACCATTAGAGCTGGTCTCATGTATTTGCGTATCACCAAATCTATATCCATCCAAGGCTCTTGTGCATCCTTCAAACGGATTGCAAATACTACATGCATAGGTGTCTAGTGTCTAGGGTCTAGTTGTTTCGTTTCAGGTATTGTGTTGTTCTGTTTTCCTGCTAGAGGTTGTTTCAG